GGAAAATTTGGTGAGTTCAGACAGCAGCCTCTCTGAAATCTCAGGTTGTATCTCAGATTTACAATCTACAATACACAATTTAACAGTAACAGACATAGCTTAATAAGGTTAATAACAATGGCGTTATTTAATAAAGTAAGTAACTGATAATTTGTGCCTTTTAGAAATTAAGAAGAAGATTGCCCAGCATTTCTTAAGTTGAGTTCTTGTAGATCCCGGCTGGGAAGGTCATAGACCTGGCGACCCGGTCCCGGACCAGGCGTAGTTGATGGCGAGATCAGTCAGTATTACTGGGAAGAGATTGGAGATGTCGACGAGTGTTCCTGGGACCGTCTTCACCGAGGTGGATATTCATGGGATGATTAACGTTGAAACGACCTGGATTAAGGGGTTTCCCGCTTCACCAACACCAGTCTACCAGATACCACCAGCATGACCACGACACCAGTCTAACAGATACCACCAGCATGACCACCAACACCAGTCTACCAGATACCACCAGCATGACCACGACACCAGTCTACCAGATACCACCAGCATGACCACCAACACCAGTCTACCAGATACCACCAGCATGACCACCAACATAAGTCTACCAGATACCACCAGCATGACCACCAACACCAGTCTACCAGATACCACCAGCATGACCACCAACACCAGTCTACCAGATACCACCAGCATGACCACCAACACCAGTCTACCAGATACCACCAGCATGACCACTCACATACCACATCCCACCTACATAATCACCCTTATATCACACAGCACCAGCTCCACCAATACATCATTTGCCACACTGCCACCATCACCAACACACTACCACCATCACCAACACACTACCACCATCACCAACACACTACCACTATCACCAACAAACTACCACCATCACCAACACACTACCACCATCACCAAAACACTACCACCATCACCTACACACTACCACCATCACCAACAACTACCACCATCACCACACGACCACCATCACCAACACAACTACCACCATCACCAACACACTACCACCATCACCAACAAACTACCACCATCACCACACTACCACCATCACCAACACACTACCACCATCACCAACACACTACCACCATCACAACACACTACCACTATCACCAATACACTACCACCATTACCAACACACTACCACCATCACCAACACACTATCACCATCACCAACACACTACCAACATCACCAACACACTAACCACCATCACCAACACACTAACCACCATCACCAACACACTACCACTATCACCAATACACTACTACATCACCAACACACTACCACCATCACCAACACACTACTACCGTCACCAACACACTACCACCATCACCAACACACTACACCATCACCAAAACACTAACCACCATCACCAACACACTACCACCATCACCAACACACTAACCACCATCACCACACGACCACCATCACCAACACACTACCACCATCACCAACACACTACCACCATCACCAACAAACTACCACCATCACCACACTACCACCATCACCAACACACTACCACCATCACCAACACACTACCACCATCACCAACACACTACCACTATCACCAATACACTACCACCATTACCAACACACTACCACCATCACCAACACACTATCACCATCACCAACACACTACCACCATCACCAACACACTACCACCATCACCAACACACTACCACCATCACCAACACACTACCACTATCACCAAAACACTACCACCATCACCAACACACTACCACCATCACCAACACACTACCACTATCACCAACAAACTACCACCATCACCACACTACCACCATCACCAACACACTACCACCATCACCAACACACTACCACCATCACCAACACACTACCACTATCGCCAACACACTACCACTATCGCCAACACACTACCATTATCACCAATACACTACCACCATTACCAACACAACTACCACTACACCAACAACACCTACCACCATCACCAACACACTACTACCATCACCAACACACTACCACCATCCAACACACTACCACCATCACCAACACACTACTACCATCACCAACACACTACCACCATCACCAAAACACTACCACCATCCAACACACTACCACCATCACCAATACACTTCCACCACCACCAACAACACTACCACCATCACCAACTACCACCATCACCAACACACTATCACCATCACCAACACACTACCACCATCACCAACACGCCACCACCAACTCACAACCGCCATCACCAACACCACACCACCATCACCAATACACCACCACCAACACACCACTGCCATCACCAGCACACACGCCCCCAACATACCACCACCATCACCACACACCACCACCAACACTCTACCACCATCACCAATACACCACCACGAACACACCACCACCATCACCAACACACCACCACCATCACCAACACACCACCACCAACGCCAACACACCACCACCACAACCACCAACACACCACCAACAACACCACACCATCATCACCACACACCACCACCATCACCAACACAACCAATACCAATATACCACCACCATCACCAATACACCACCACCAACACACCACCACCATCACCAACACACCAATACCAATAACCACCACCACACCAATACACCATCACCAACACCCACCACCACTCATCCACAGACACGCCACCACCACACATACCAACCATCACCAACACACCAATACCAATATACCCCACAATCCACCAATACACCACACCACAACCCCACCATCACCAACACACCAATCCAATACCACCACCATCACCAATACACATTCCAACACACCCACCACCACACCACCACACCACACCCACCACACCAACACCACCACACACCACCAACAACAACACAACACACACCAACAACACCACACCACCATCACCACACACCACCACCACACCAACAACCACACCACCAACCACCACCACCACCACCACCACACCACCACCACCACCACCCCACCACCACACCACCACCACCATCACCAACACACCACCATCACCACCACCCCAACAACAACAACAACACACACCACAACACCCACACCACAACTACACCACCACCATCACCAACACACCACCACCACCACCACCAACAACAACAACAACAACAACACACCACCAACAACATCACACCACAATCACCAACACACCACCACCATCACCAACACACCACCACCACGAACACTAAGAGTTGAAGATAGAAACGGCCTTAATTAAGTAGTAGAAGTTTCAGATTTACCTTCCTTGAACTTCCATCTCTCCTCTACATTCCATGGGATTTTGTTTTTCAATATCTAATGGTACATTTTTTCTCGTCCCTGTTTTCACGCCAGCAGTGGTTGGAGGGAGTGGAGAGTGAGGGGAGAGCCCTGTGCTTTTCTATCCTTGCCTCATATGCCTAGATCGTACACGGGGTGAATTTCCAGGTCCTCTGCTGTCTGCCTTTCCCACGTAATCAAATACATCACTACCATAACCACCACGCTACCCCCTACCACCACCACCACCACTACATCACCACTACCCCCACCACGCTACCACTATCACCACTACATCACCACTATCCCCACCACGCTACCACCATCACCACTACATCACCACTATCCCCACCACGCTACCACCATCACCACTACATCACCACTACCCCCACCACGCTACCACCATCACCACTACATCACCACTGCCCCCCACGCTACCACCATCACCACTACATCACCACTACCCCACCACGCTACCACCATCACCACTACATCAACACTACCCCACCACGCTACCACCATCACCACTACATCACCACTACCCCCACCACGCTACCACCATCACCACTACATCACCACTATCCCCACCACGCTACCACCATCACCACTACACCACTATCCCCACCACGCTACCATCATCACCACTACATCACCACTACCCCCACCACGCTACCACCATCACCACTACATCACCACTATCCCCACCACGCTGCCACCACCACCACCACATCACCACTGCCCCCACCACGCTACCACCATCACCACTACATCACCACTACCCCCACCACGCTACCACCATCACCACTACCACTCGACACACCGCTCATCTGAAGAAAGAATCACCTTATTTCCCAAACTGTCAAATGGAAACACATTTTTGAAGCTGTCAACACAAAAGAACGCCACGACGCATTACCTTCGTAATAAATCTTGAGTGAGAGTGTTGAGTTGCCACGAGCGTAATATTCAGTGTACAGGGTGATCCTTGATGTGTACTGCTCTCTCTCTCTCTCTCTCTCTCTCTCTCTCTCTCTCTCTCTCTCTCTCTCTCTCTCTCTCTCTCTCTCTCTCTCTCTCTCTCTCTCTCTCTCTCTCTCTCTCCTCTCTCTCTCTTTTCTCTCTCTCTCTCTCCTACTATTTTTACCTGTCTTCCCATAATCTTGTCTACTATCTTGCCACACTCGTATCTACTATCTTACCACAATCCCACCTATCTAACCACTGTTTTGCCACAATCTTACCTACAATCATACTTCCATCTTACCACAATCTTTTCTACTATCTTATATCTATTATCTCACAGTCTTATCTATCTTACCTCTATCGTACCACAGTCTTGTCTACCTACTTGCCTCTAACCACTATCTTATCTATTATCTTAGCTTTATCTTACCACAGTCTACTATATTACCTACTATCTTACCACACTCGTACGTTCTATCTTACCTCTTACCAAAGTTTAATCTACTATCTTATTACATTCTTCACTATCTTTTCACAATCTTAACAATCCTACTACAATCCTTCCTACTATCTTGTCTCAATCTTACGTACTACCTTACTACAATCTCTCCTATCTTACCACCACAATCTTACCCACAGTTCTACAACAATCTTACAATCTTTTCACGTTTTTTACCCACTATCTTGCCACAACTTTACCTATCTTTCCACAATCTTACCCATTATCTTACCACAATCTATCTTACTCAACAGATGTCAGATCTGTCAGCGTTCCGACGAGCCAAACTCTTGCATGTCTTCAATACTTTCTTTGGTAAGTATTATCTTATTATCTTATTATCTTTTAGTATCAGTTATTGCTAATTACTGATTATTATTATTACTAATTATTATTAATTGCAACTTTACTATATATTACTATTAATTATGATTATTAATTATAATTGCTGATTATTAAATAATTACTATTAATTATTAAATTACTCAATAATTATTATTGTTATTAATTACTAATTATTATTACTATTAATTACTGACTAATTATTTAACTATTATTTACTAATTATTATTGATGGCAGTTTTTTCATTATCCCTCAAGGTGATCGAAGGAATTGGAGTTATTCTCCTCTTCCTTGGATCAAACCTGATTTCCTCCCATTTCCCCGGTTCTGTGTTCTGTATGACCCTTGCGGGTTCAACGTTTCCCTGTGAATAGAATAACAGTATTAAAAAAATGCAATGCAAGTCCGGGTAGAGAAAGTTAAGTGGTTTGGAGAAAGTTAAGTGGTGTGGAGGAAGTTAAGTGGTGTGGAGGAAGTTAAGTGGTGTGGAGAAAGTTAAGTGGTGTGGAGGAAGTTAAGTGGTGTGGAGGAAGTTAAGTGGTGTTGAGGAAGTTAAGTGGTGTGGAGAAAGTTAAGTGGTGTGGAGGAAGTTAAGTGGTGTGGAGAAAGTTAAGTGGTGTGGAGGAAGTTAAGTGGTGTGGAGGAAGTTAAGTGGTGTGGAGGAAGTTAAGTTGTGTTGGGAGAAAGTTAAGTGGTGTGGAGGAAAGTTAAGTGGTGTGGAGAAAGTTAAGTGGTGTGGAGAAAGTTAAGTGGTGTGGAGAAAGTTAAGTGGTGTGGAGAAAGTTAAGTGGTGTGGAGAAAGTTAAGTGGTGTGGAGGAAGTTAAGTGGTGTGGAGAAAGTTAAGTGGTGTGGAGGAAGTTAAGTGGTGTTGAGGAAGTTAAGCGGTGTGGAGGAAGTTAAGTGGTGTGGAGGAAGTTAAGTGGTATGGAGAAAGTTAAGTGGTGTGGAGAAGTTAAGTGGTGTGGAGAAAGTTAAGTGGTGTGGAGGAAGTTAAGTGGTGTGGAGGAAGTTAAGTGGTGTGGAGGAAAGTTAAGTGGTGTGGAGAAAGTTAAGTGGTGTGGAGAAAGTTAAGTGGTGTGGAGAAAGTTAAGTGGTGTGGAGAAAGTTAAGTGGTGTGGAGGAAGTTAAGTGGTGTGTGGAGAAAGTTAAGTGGAGTGGAGAAAGTTAAGTGGTGTGGAGAAAGTTAAGTGGTGTGGAGAAAGTTAAGTTGTGTGGAGAAAGTTAAGTGGTGTGGAGAAAGTTAAGTGGTGTTGAGGAAGTTAAGTGGTGTTGAGGAAGTTAAGTGGTGTGGAGAAAGTTAAGTGGTGTGGAGAAAGTTAAGTGGTGTTGAGGAAGTTAAGTGGTGTTGAGGAAGTTAAGTGGTGTGGAGAAAGTTAAGTGGTGTGGAGAAAGTTAAGTGGTGTGGAGAAAGTTAAGTGGTGTGGAGAAAGTTAAGTGGTGTGGAGAAAGTTAAGTGGTGTGGAGAAAGTTAAGTGGTGTGGAGAAAGTTAAGTGGTGTGGGAGAAAGTTAAGTGGTGTGGAGAAAGTTAAGTGGTGTTGAGGAAGTTAAGTGGTGTGGAGAAAGTTAAGTGGTGTGGAGAAAGTTAAGTGGTGTGGAGAAAGTTATAAGTGGTGTGGAGAAGGTTAAGTGGTGTGGTGAAAGTTAAGTGGTGTGGAGGAAGTTAAGTGGTGTTGAGGAAGTTAAGTGGTGTTGAGGAAGTTAAGCGGTGTGGAGGAAGTTAAGTGGTGTAGAGGAAGTTAAGTGGTGTGGAGGAAGTTAAGTGGTGTGGAGGAAGTTAAGTGGTGTGGAGGAAGTTAAGTGGTGTGGAGGAAGTTAAGTGGTGTGGAGGAAGTTAAGTGGTGTGGAGAAAGTTAAGTGGTGTGGAGGAAGTTAAGTGGTGTGGGGGAAGTTAAGTGGTGTGGGAGAAAGTGGTGTAGTGAAGCGGTGTGAAAAATATGGAAAAAGTGTACAGAAAGGGGTGGAGAAAGTGGTTTGCAGGTGGTGTGAAGGAAGTTAAGTGGTGTGGAGGAAGTTAAGTGGTGTGGAAGAAGTTAAGTGGTGTGGAGGAAGTTAAGTGGTGTAAAGGCAGTTCACATCTCATAATGTAACAACAAAGTGGATGGGTAAGTCAGGTAGCCAGCCATGCAGCCAGCCAGCGGCATGTCTCCATCACAATACCAGAAGCTCACCTGGGCGGACCAACCTCTACTTAACACTAGAGAACAGAAGTAATTCTCCCCATTTCTCCCTGACGACCAACAGCTGGCATCAGGTGTATTCTGAGTGCCAGGCCTGATTACCCTCAGGAAGCAGTGGTAATGGCTTCGTTTGGGCACATGTCAACACAAGCAGCTAGTTGGGTGTGCGTGCGTGCGTGCGTGTGTGTGGGGGAGGGGGTAAACAATACCAGAGGCTGCACGAAATGTTTCTCTCTTGCAGCCCAATTTGTCAGGCCGGACCAGACTCCTTTACACTGCCTCTGCTTACTTCAGGAGGCAGCGGTATTGTATGCCACGTAAATTCGATAGCTTTGTCTCAGGTGTGTGTGTGTGTGTGTGTGTGTGTGTGTGTGTGTGTGTGTGTGTGTGTGTGTGTGTGTGTGTGTGTGTGTGTTGGAAGGCTTCAGTTAGTGTTCACGCTCACAGGTGTGTGCTGGAAGGTTCCAGTTACTATACACCTTCCTCAAAATTCGCTTATCTATGGTTCTCTAGCAGCATAATTAAGCAGTAACTGCTGTTAAGAATGTTGACCCGGCTGTCTGAAAGGAGCCAGACTAGCACTAAGAAACACAAACAAACAGTGTACACAGATAAGCCAGAGGAGAGAAGCTTGAACGCGAAAGGAAAAAAATATAGTGGAGATTAAGTCAGTGAAAGGACCCAGGTATTCAATGTGACAACCCATTCGCTTAGTGAGGTATCATGACAGTTTATTAAGAGATGGAACCCAGGAGCTAGAGCCCTTTAAACACACTTCTCAGAACACAGTTAAATAGTTTACTAGACGGAGTGTTTGAACTTATGGCAAGCCAGTGATAACAAGTAGAAGGCTAGTGCGTTATGCACTGTACCATGCTGGCCTAGTTACACTGTACCATGCTGGCCTAGTTACACTGTACCATGCTGGCCTAGTTACACTGTACCATGCTGGCCTAGTTACACTGTACCATGCTGGCCTAGTTACACTGTATCATGCTGGCCTAGTTACACTGTACCATGCTGGCCTAGTTACACTGTACCATGCTGGCCTAGTTACACTGTACCATGCTGGCCTAGTTACACTGCACCATGCTGGCCTAGTTACACTGTACCATGCTGGCCTAGTTACACTGAGGCTCACGTAGGTGTATATCTATACACACAAGTGTAACGTGTATAAATATACACACTATACTAGTAAAAAGGCACACACACACACCACACACCCTCGTCAAATGCTGAATACTTCAAGCATGGACATTCATTCGCACTTCCCAGTCAGGATAACCTAAATTCTTTCAGAATTCCTTCCTACTCTCACTGCGAGGCTCAGTTTGCACAAGTGGCTTCAGAGTTGCAGCTTCTGCTCCGAGGTCTTCAAGCCTTGTTTTTGTAAGCCGAGTCATTTAAATATTTTAATTGGCCATCCTGTGAGCAGCTGCACTTGTGTGTCTGTCTGTGTCTGTCCTCTGGCAGTCTTGGTCTGATGTTATTAATGGTATTATTAGTAATTTTGTGTTGCGTAGGTGGTAGAGATAGTGGCAAGGGGAGAGTGATATCTGAATGTCAAAACTCACACCTTGATCTGATTGCCTGGGTTCCTCACACCTTGATCTGAGTGCCTGGGTTTCTCACACCTTGATCTGAGTACCTGGGTTCCTCACACCTTGATCTGAGTACCTGGGTTCCTCACACCTTGATCTGAGTACCTCGGTTCTCACACCTTGATCTGAGTACCTGGGTTCTCACACCTTGATCTGAGTACCTGGGTTCTCACACCTTGATCTGAGTGCCTGGGTTCTCACACCTTGATCTGAGTACCTTGGTTCTCACACCATGATCTGAGTGCCTGGATTCTCACACCTTGATCTGAGTGCCTTGGTTCCTCACACCTTGATCTGAGTGCCAGGGTTCTCATACCTTGATCTGAGTGCCTGGGTTCTCACACCTTGATCTGAGTGCCTGGGTTCCTCACACCTTGATCTGATTGCCAGGGTTCTCACACCTTGATCTGAGTACCTTGGTTCTCACACCATGATCTGAGTGCCTGGGTTCTCACACCTTGATCTGAGTACCTGGGTTCTCACACCTTGATCTGAGTGCCTGGGTTCTCACACCTTGATCTGAGTACCTTGGTTCTCACACCATGATCTGAGTGCCTGGATTCTCACACCTTGATCTGAGTGCCTTGGTTCCTCACACCTTGATCTGAGTGCCAGGGTTCTCATACCTTGATCTGAGTGCCTGGGTTCTCACACCTTGATCTGAGTGCCTGGGTTCTTACACATTGCTCGTGTTTTGATTGGCTGTTGAGGAGCCAGGAGGTCTGTGACTGGCTGCTGGGATATAAGCGTACTGGCCTAAGAGGTAGGAGGGGGACGGGGGGAGGAACTAGCTGAACGGTGGGTCATATTTTGGGCAAATTGCCTCAAGAGACTTTACAGGTTCGGGCAAAATAAAAGAGAAATATATATATAAATGATTCCAATTTGGAGCAGGAATGTAAGTGAACATTTCTTTACGATCTCATTAAACAACTACGTATATCCATGTAAGTTATACTTGTTTGTTGTATACTACTGTACGGAACTTGCGTGATGGAGGTTCAAATGTGTATCATAATAATAATAATAATAATAATAATAATAATAATAATAATAATAATAATAATAATAATAATAATAATAATAATAATAATAATCTTTATTTCTACAAGTACATTATATAGGTTAATTTTGTCCTCAGGATGCGACCCACACCAATAGGCTAACACCCAGGCACCTACCTACTGCT